TAAGCTCATTTGATTCTAGTTGTTGTTATTCTCTGGAGATATAGCTGTTTATCCATGGGGAGATATTGCTGCACAACTGCACTTTGTGTATAAATATGAGAATATCGAAAATAGTGTCCTTCAGGGAATAAAAAAAAGATATATTTCAAAGTAACGACCTCATATACGTTTGAATGAGAATGACCATGCATGTGGAAGCACTAATCACTTATGCTAAATGCGATATTTCTTGCAAAGTAAGAAACAATAAAGTAATCTGAAAGATAATTTTGACTTTGATTAACCCAGAAAAATCGACTTTCAGTGTTTGAGTTTGTGAATTAATAAACATTGTTTAATTGTATCTAATATTGTGTTAAGTTTCTCAGTTACTGAGATATTCAGTACTACTTTGTAATAAATATGTTGTAGAATCTTTCTGAATAAAACAATTTTTATGTGAATATACTACGCCTACAATGGTTTGCTTTAATGTAAACTGCTTTTAACTCAATATTAATAGCACTGTTTGGAGATGAATCTATAGAAAATAGAAATTTCTTATGGAAAGATCTGCTTGGAAGTAATACTGAATGAAGATAGGTACGCATCTCATCTATAAGCAAAATATTTCAACTTATCTGCTCTATGTTATGAAAAAGTGTCACTAATAGTGTCCTGTCTGCGTCGTATTCATCAGTTTGTACTAAACGAATAAATTCAATTAATCTGTAAATCTCTGACACACAAGATTTAGTCCACCAGCATTTATCTACAAAACTAACATCACATCCTGGTTACACAACTGGAAAATCGATTTAGATTCTGTGGACAAGGTTAACCCACACACACACTCTTGGAACATGGACTGCAAACCATTTCATGTGTTCGATTAAGCAAAGCGTGGGAAAATGCCATATTCTTTTCTTAATTTCACATCAGCAAGACCAGTAACATCAAACAATTAGAACAGAGTATGCAGCTAATGAAGGAATCAAATGTGTATCTCTAATACACAGCTTGTATTGCATACAGAAAAATAATAATAAGCAGAAGAAAAGGGGTCCCATTAGATCTGCAGCTAGACGAATGAGATGATGTTTTTTTCATAGATATTATTCAAACAACAATTTATTGGGTGTATTTTTGACTAACATAGAAGTTGGTAAAGCAATGTACTGAATTCATTAAGCTCGAAACATGGGAATGAAAAACAATCATAATCATATATACAGAAGAAGTGATCCTAAGAAAATCAAACTAAACATAAAACATTATATCTCAGCTTTTAATAATTACAATCAGCTTAGAGACCTTAAGTATGGAGAACGTTAAAGGAAATAAGCACTTGAATTCAAACACTTTTAATTATTGGTTTGGTTTGTTATGAATTTCGCGCAAAGCTACACGAGGGCTATCTGCGCTAGCCGTCCTTTATTTATCAGTGTAAGACTAGAGAGAAGGCAGCTAGTCATCACCACTCTTGGGATACTCTTTTACCAAGGATTAGTGAGATTGGCCGTCACATATAACACCCCCACGGCTGAAAGGGCGAACATGTTTGGTGTGACGGGGATTCGAACCCGCGACTCGCAGATTACGAGTTGAGCGCCCTAACCACCTGGCCATGGTTTTTCGACATTGGTGAAACTTTAAGAACCACATTCTTTCAACTATCATATACCACAAGGATTAAATGACAGATTTTAGCCATTTTGTTACATCTAATCAGCATTCTCGTGTAGAAATTGATTGCACGTTGAGTTTGGGGACTTGTGGGAAAAAATTAATGTTATACAAAAATCGATATGTTGCTAGAAAATAATTGCAAGAATTATATATTTCTTGAACCCATGCTGAAGATATAGAGGTAACAAACAAATACAAATATTTAGTATACTGGTTTACAACTAAAAATGCATGAAAGGAGCAGAAAAGACGGCAATATGCAAAGACGCAGAGAGCTTTAAACAAAGCATGGAGTATAATAAGGAGAAGTGTAATACATCAGTGTTTCTCAATACTTTTCACCTTAAGGCCCATTTAGTTATGTGTCACAGTAATGAAGGCCTAAATATGCAGTTGATGACTCGTTACAGTAAGGCAGTCTCAACTGCACAGGCCCTTCGCGGCCCGTAACTGCGCGTCTAATCGGTTGAGAATCACTGTAGTAAATAACATTAAGCAAAACATTAAGCTCTTTTATATGTTCATGGATCAATGAGATGATAATAATGTATAGGGTAGAAATATGTGAATGGAATGAAAAAAAGAGAAGGTGGAAAAGTTGCATAGAATATACAAGAAATGTATATTTTAGATATAAATAGAAACACAATGAATTATGTATGGGCGCTAGAAAGAAGAAAATTAAATATGGACCTAAAAGATATAGAGAGTTTATGGATACGTTTCAGTAGAAATAAGAATGAAGGAAAAAGTCGGCGAAAATAGTAAATAGAGATAATAACATGAACTGAAAATAACAGGATGAATAAATATATATATTCGAATATGTTAGAATTAGAGAAGTAGAAGCAATATAAGAGATATTCAGATAAAGATAGAAAAAATAAAGAGGATAAAACAGAACAAAATATCTGAGACAAATGGAGCGCAGTAGAACAACCTACTTATTGTATATGCTATGAAAAGATAAAAAGAAGAAATTCTAAAGATGTAATACTTGAGAAAACGAAAAAATAGAAAATCAAATATGGACTGAATGAAGATGAAAGAAATCGTACAAGATATAAAACATGGAGGACTCTAAAAGATCGGAAATGCAGAAGAAATCGTAGAGGACAGAAAACATGGAGAACTCTAAAAGATCGGAAATGTAAAAGTTGTAAGAAAAAAGTAGAAGCAATAAAACTTATACGGAAAAAATAGCAGATAAATAGAATATTAGGCATTTGAAGATGAAAGAAAGCAGGGAGGAAATGGATGTATTTGGAAGATAATGAAAGGAAGCATAAAAAAATTGTAGCTCATTGAAGAATTTTAAAAGAAGAGAAGAAGAATCAGAATAGTAAAAAATATAATAAATAAACAGTAAAACAATTAGATAATGGTTTTGAATTTTGTGGTAAATGTACATAAATACTATTACTTATATGATGAATATACTGTAGAATATTGTACACGCTTTCCTAAAGAGATGTTTGTTTTACAGCAAAGCTACAGATTGGGCTATCTGCGATATGTCCACCGCGCAGAATCGAAAACCCTGTAATTTAGCATTGAAAGACCGTAAACTTACTGCTAAGTTTTACAAAATAAATGAATACAAATAACTACAAAAGTATAATAAATAGCTGATAAAAAAGAAAAATAAATTATTAATATATGTGTTTACAACGTGGATGTTTTAAAAAGACCGTGCTAGATTCTTGTAAATGGCTTTTTAACCTCTGTGTTCCAGGAAAACGTTATCAAACAATTTATTCTAGCTCATGTAAAATTTGACAGAAAAAGAGAATCAAAAAATCTTATCTTTTAGTCACCATTCGAAATATCGAAAAGAAAAACATATCTGCCATGAATCATCTGTAAATGTGTGCTATCATACACTAAAGCTACAATAAAATTTGGCCTAGATCCTGCAGTATGACAGTATATTCAAAATAACTTGAGATATTTATTGCTTGATAAAAATCTATTCAATGATTAGCACATTATAACAACGGCTCATTCGCATATTGTATATTAATTCATATTCACGAATTCTAAAATGTTGAAAGCTTAAGCAACTCGCATTTCTTTCTATATTATTATATTTCTTAGTAATTATAATGTAGTAGTTGTTTGGTGTTATAGTTTGAAAAAAATATTGAAAGTCAATATATCATACACTAAGAAAACAAAACTGCCTTTAATGATAAATAATAGTATTCCAAAGTTACAAGCTTAAGCTGCTTGGCAAGAAAGACGCGGCCGTGTAGTCTCTGGCGTCTGCTCTGATCCCTTCTTGTCTCAGTTTACTTCAGATACACACTGTGGGAGTTAGCAAGGGACTGTTATCACAATACTTCGTGGATTGATGCGATGTACGTGAAGAACGAGGAGAAAGATGTCATGATACAGAACAAAACTACTTACTATGTGTAAAGAAGCTACGGAAGCGTTAGAATCGGAGCTCAAGGACACGTAAAACATAATCACAAGAGGAATAAATCAGCTGCTGCGTTTTCTCATCGATTGAGTTGGGTACATTTAACCGAGGAAGGAACTACGAGAGACCAGAGGGCCCATTATTGAAAGATGGGGAAGACGTACATCCTTGCCAGTACTGATCCCAGCCTTAGACTGTTTGAATCCGGCGTATTGCATTATGTTTACATAGGTTAGCAAATAACTAATGCTGCTGTAAAATGCCAGTTCGGAGAGGTCACAATGTTCCTCAGAATACTTTTGTAGACATTATTATCAGAAAGTTTGACAGTCTTAGTAAGTTTTCTATTTTTATTTCTTAGTAACTTATACTGTGATTTTTCATCTTGCACGACTAGAAATGATTATTGATGCGTTTAATAACGTTGAATGTTTAATTAACTAGACTTCCATATATATTTGTAAAATATCATTATGTTTATCCCTGTTTTGCAGTTGTAAAATTACAGCCCCTTTTAGTTGCATTGCAGTTTATCCGCACATTTCAGCATCTACTTTGGTTTGAATATTTTGAGCAGTCTGTTATTGAGTTATTTTCTAGCTTTGAAAAATCACATACACAGGAATACTTTAGAACGCCTATCCACTCTCTCCTTTCGTCTTCCATGATCAGAAATATTTTCGTTTGTCCAGTTAATTATAATTATAATAATCAAGAGAAAGTTTTAACTCTGATTTTAATATCTAATTTATATTGGATACAATAGAAGTATTTCACTGACATATATCTATAACTGGAAAAGTATTAAAAGTAAACGAATCAAATAACACAGATAGCAAAATCATGTTATGTTCAACAAGTACGTGGCTAAAATATTTGTACAAACAGCAATTTTTAATCAACATATGATGAACATTCTATTGATTACAGGAAGCTATAAAATCCGAAACGACCTTTTTGTATTTAAAAGGAAGATAATGTATTATTTTCAGATACATTGTGCATAATTTTGTTTTTTGCAGATCTGCTGAATTTGATTTCAAATAGTCAGAAGTTTAATGGTGTTTAGTGCTTTTTGGGTTTATTATGTAACATTAAGTGACGTTTAATACAGGCAAGTCAAAACGTCTCCCTAAATGTATACAAACTGAATTGAAATAAAATAAAAATGAACACATTGATGGTTAGTCAAGCGGTTGCTTGGACTTTTAGGAGTCTTGAGGCATTTCAAAAAAAATTGTGTTATTATTTATAACATTATTATGTTAGTTTGTGTTATATTGTTATGTAGAAACGTTTCCGAGAAGCAGTAATAAATTAATCGTACGATCTTCTCGTACAAAAATTGCCCTGAAGATAGCATTGTAAATGATTGAAAGGTTGTTATGACTATTTGTTTGTCTCTATGGTTTATGGCACTTCTACCTTCTCATATATTTCATATTATTTATTCATTGCGTTGAATCTCTAAAATTACCTAAAAGATTCTAATCATCCAAGTGAAATCTTTCAAGAAAGGGGATTAATATATAAAATTATGTGACTGATAATTGTCAACATGATTAAAGATGAGGACAAATTATTTCTTTATATATCGAATTAGTTAACGTTTTGTCGAACAGTCTGAAACTTTTAGTAGGGTGATAAATTTACTACATATTTATTTTTCTATGCGGTATATATGACCTGATAGTTAGTATCATTTGTTCCTACTGTATTGCATCTTTATATGAATCATTGAGATAAGTACAGTGTTTAATATGCTATCTATCGTTTTGTGGCCAATTTGATAGATGCTTGATAGAGATACAATGCTATTGCGTCACAAAAGTGACTGTTATAGTTAAATGAGGAACAACTTGTGTATATATTATAAAAAGAGGCGTGTTTATATGTATTTTTGATTTGACGTTCTCTCAAGAAACTGATTGTTTGTGGAGCGGCTGATAGTTTGGAAGGTTATGCGGATATGTATTATTTACTCCTAATAATCCAGAGAATTGTTTAGCATTTGGACAACGCGGAAAAATTATGGGTAACATTTTTCCAAACGCCGTGTCAAATTATGGGTTTCCAGTTTGTTTATGGTAACTAACAAATGATATGTTTCGCCTGAGAGACCATTGTAAAATAAACTGAAACTCTGGATCTACAAGTTAGTTATACTTATACTGAAGTATTTATGTTTACTAGCTAGTCTCTTCTTGCTTGTATGCGACTTGAACAAATTTATTCTTTTCCCACAGTAGCCATACACACACAAACACTAATAGATATATGTATTGAAAACAAGAAGTTATGTTATCTAAAGAACGGGCATTATCCTTTCATTTAAGGTTTTATTTTAAGACAACTTTTTATTAATAATGGGTTAGAATTACTTATCATTTTCAGTTATCTTTTAACATTACCCGTATCTGTAAATTACGAAATCTCATGCTGGTGAGAAAGACATTTACCCATTGCAATAATAGGTTTTCTGTTTTCTTTTTTGAGCAACATCATTGACCAAAAAGACGACAATTTACATTAGCATATTTTTAGCTTTGGTGGACCACTAGCTGCTCCAAATCGATGGATCGAAATTGCTGACGACTGCTTGAAAGACTGTGAAAAAAGATGCAATATTAATTCAAAATGGGACCTTTGTCTTGCAAATATAAAAGGCCTAGATGTTAAAAATGGTTACCATGCTCTCTTTGTGGTTGTGAATGTGATGGATATAAATTTCTGCCAAACTGAGCCGGAGATGTGAGGGAAAGCAGCCAACATGTGTATTGGCAAGTATTAATAATGCAACAAACGGTAGGAAAAAAAGGGCACGGACAAATAACAATAAGAATATTGTGAATATCAATGATGAAATTGAACATGATAAAAAAATGACAATATGGATTTTATTTATAATGACGTTTTGGCCTTAATTGAAGATAGTGATGATGGAGGTGGTGTAAAAAAAATGAATACGTCCTAAAAGTATGCAAAAAATGTATATGACATCAGAGACGTTTTCGTAATAGATGCTTCTTTGACGAGAAGTCGAAAATCATGTGAAAGTGAATTATTTAATTCTGTTGGTAAAGCATGTCGTATAATTGCCTTCGGAATTTCAGTACTAAAGAAAATATACTTTATTTTCTTACCCAATGATGCACACCAGTTATTGCTTAACATAAGAAAACAAAATGTAAAAGATAACAAAGAAACCAGAGTTAAATACAAATATAATTGAAGTACAATCAAAATTCTCCCTACAAAATGACGAAATTTTTTATTGATGTAAAATTAGAGTGCTAGTTATCTAACATTCCTAATATATAACTAATATTATTTGAAACATCAATCTTTATGTAACTATATCTTCATCTATGATTAATATTGTGCTCTTAAAAAAGCAGTATCATTTCAATAATACTTAGTATCATTTCCGCAATCGAATTACGAGATTGATTTTTGGTGTTCCTGGTATGAAATGTTATCCAATTTTCTCGTACGACAGGTGTTAATAATATATTTAATTTCTCGATTTCCTATTTCCTCAGGATATCTATCCTTACACAGATGCCTTTAGATTATTAATGGTGATTCCAGAGCAGTATGTGCTTTAACATACAACATGTTATTCTTAATAAAGTTAGAAAAAAGCATCTGAGTAGTTTAGTCACGCTTCTATGGCACTAACAGTTGTCATAACACTTTGCATATTTTATACAAAGAAACAGTGAACAGATCTTATTAAAAGCCGACTTTATATTACTTTTCCTTGTTTTTTTGTTTTTTATCAAAGTCTATTAAGGTACAAGAATATTTTGTTTGATCCCCAAGTTGTCGGATTTCATTTATTCAATGAAACGTAAGGAAAACGAAAAAACGTTCCAAGAACACGTATGATAACATTATTATCCAATTGTCTTAGAGGAAGCAAATAAGCAAACCCATTTTATGATAATTCCATTTAAAGCTCTAATGAAAATGTTCATCTGTACGACGGCCTGTTCTTCAAGGTCTCGAGGTGACTTATAAGGTCAGTTTTGATGTAACTATATGTTTATGTTATTATCTGTACTTCAAGATACCATAGAGCGGTGAAAACTATATATTTACGATAGGCTACTATAAAAAACTGGTTATAAATTGACTCACCGCGACGTTTAGAGGCAAGTTCAGAATTATAAACAAATAAAAAACCTTAACACTTTAATGACACATACTTAAGTAAACATCCGTAAACGTTTACGTTTAAGAGCAAGGATTGACGCTAACTTTAACATCTTTTTCACTTTTCATTCATGAGAATAATATTAAGCTAACGTTTTACCGAAATTACTTTAAATTAAATGTGTTGAAATTTCAAGATCAGTTACAGTAACTGTACTAAAAACAGTTTCTTTGAAGCTCAAAAACGTCTCTGTACACCTCTAACACATATGGAAGATCACTTACGCATTTTTTTTCCGATTGATTTCGACCCATTTATACGGAAAACTATTTTTACAGTTATACAAGTGAATAGTATATCTGCTTGCCTGTTTTTTAAAAATGGTCTTATGTCGAAATTTTCATGATACTAAACTTTTTCGGTGTATATATGACCAATGTATCATTCACTCGTGCACATCAAACATTCTTGCCCTTTCAGCCGTGAGGGCGTTATAAAGTGACGGTCAATCTCACTATTCGTTGGTAAAAGAGTAGTCCAAGAGTAGGCGGTGGGTGGTGATGACTAGCTGCCTTCCCTCTAGTCTTACACTGCTAAATTAGGGATGGCTAGTGCATATAGCCCTCGTGTAGCTTTGCGCGAAATTCAAAAACAAACAAACACTCGTGCAGCTTTCCTTAAGCCGATTAATGCCTCAAGCCTAGTTTTCAAGGGAACATTGAAGTAAAAAATGCATTGAAGCAGCATTAAAAAATTGTCAAATATGTGGTCGAACAGGACTGCTGTGTCTCTAATTTCTTGTACCATTTTTCTTATTAAAACAGCTGTCGATTTTGTCCCTTGTTTCAACGTCGATTAAAAATTTTGCTGTATACATATTTCTCTTTGGAAGGGGTGTTCACATACTCTTTCAGACTCTGTTCAAGTGAAACTAATTTACACGTGTCTCCAGGATCTGTAGATAACCATCTACAGAGAGCTTGAATTTGGAAGACACCAGAAAGCATAACATGTAAAAAATGTCATCCTTACTTAGTAAGCGATTGAGATGAAATTAATTAATGTTTCGTCTTAAGCTGCAACTTTTTCAACTTCGATTTCTTTACCTCTCAATAATGCAAATTTATATTTACTTATATAATTTAGATTATTTTACAAATTTTTCTCACTTAACTC